AATACCACTGCCATGGTAAACGTTAGGTTTTTCTTTGTTTTCCTCATAATCATGTTTTTTTTTTTTTTTTTTTTTTTTTTTTTTTGTTTTTTATCTTTTGCTGTTTTGCATCAAGCACATGCTATCAGCAGTAAAATGTTTTTTCACTTGATGAATTTCCTTCTGGAAATATTCCATGTAATGTACATAAACTTCAGGGATGCCAATAAAGGTGAGCAGGACTGTAGGTTACCTGGAAGCTAGTAAGGTAAATAAAATCAGATTATAAACCTGCCTTTATAACACTGGAAGACTAAGTCCCCTATAATCACATTTAAACGTGAGGAATTGGGACACAAAATAATAGACTGACTTTTTTTTTCTCCTTAGATTTCATCCCTCAGAAACCTGAGCTGCTTTGCTGAGCTCTGATAGTTCAGTGTGAAGAACAGGATTTCAATGATTATCTTTTTACAGCTTTTAGGTGGAAATAATCCCTACAGGTGCAGATCTCTGATGGCTGCATCCTCCACCAGAGAGGGAATTAAACCAACAGCCTCTATCTATACACATACATATAGGAAGACATCATGAGCTGCAGCCACAGCACAGCAGCACTGTCCCAGGCCACGCCCCCACCCACCTTAAACTTCCTCATGGACTGGTAGAGCCGCCCGAGGTTGCCGTAGTGTTTGGCTGTCTGAACGTTGAATTCCCCAAAGGCCTTCTTGGCCAGCTCCAGTGAGGAGAGGTGAAGGTCGTGGGCCTCCTGCAGGAGGCGCTCTTCTGTTTCTTTGTTGTGGCAGTCGATGGCGATCTCCTCCAGAATTAGTGCTGTTAGAGAAACAAATCAAGCGTTTAAACCTTCCCTTCTTCTATTTCATTTCCTTAGCAGGAGAGACGCCTGGAGAATAAATAATTGGATGAACTTTGCTGGTTTTCCTTAGAAACTTTCAAGCTTTAAGCCGAATTAATGATTGATTCAATCGTCTGTGAAGACAGGATGTGAATTAGAGTAATAGAAACAAACAA